GGGGTTGGTCTCCTGACGCAGCCCGCCGGAAGCACGGCCGGGTTTGGCGGGAGGCCGTGGTTGCCGTGGTTTGGCGTAGGCTGCTCGCAGGAGCGGGCATCCACCCAAGAAAGGCGATGAGCCACACGTTGGATGAACGCAGCTCTTCAAGCTTAGGTCCTGCTACCAGTTTTTCAAGTTACGGGGTGTGAAAGAGGGCTAAGAATTTGTCCTAACTCTGCGATAACGAACAGAAGAGGTCTGTTGCAGGATACCCTTTGTTTTCCAGGTACACACCTGCTCCTGTAATGCGGGCACTGATTGTATCCCCTGCTGTGCAAGAAATCCCAGAGAGAAAATTACGTGCGTTGTCATTCAAATGAGGTTGTCGTGTTTTGTTTATTGTCCATCACTCTCAGAGACACTACTCCATATAAATGTTTGTTTCTGCAGGCATCATCATGTTACTGAGACACTGCGTTTCTTTAAATGATTTTCAGTTTCGTTTGTCCCCTCTCACCTTCGGGTCTTGGAGTTCGTGTTGAATAGGAATGGGGAGTTTCTGTTGTGTTGCCTTCTTTCACTTCCCCTGATGTTGTTTAGTTTATCACATGGAATAACACCATAATCACACACTGCATAATGCATGGATTTTGCTCTGGTTGAAGTGAGCAGCCCTTCGCACCTGCTTTTTTGCTGTCAGCTGCCATTACAATGAGTACTCTGTGGCAGAAACACTTTACTGCACCCTCGGCAAGTTTGCAGATGACACCAAGCTGAGTGGTGTGGTCGATACGCCTGAGGGACGGGACGCCATCCAGAGGGACGTGGACAGGCTCGAGAAGTGGGCCCATGTGTGAACCTCATGAGGTTCAACAAGGCCAAGGACAAGGTCCTGCATCTCGGTTGGGGCAACCACTGGTATCAATACAGGCTGGGGGATGAAGGGATTGAGAGCAGCCCTACAGAGAAGGACTTGGGGGTGTTGGTGGGTGAAAAGCTGGGCATGAGCTGGCAATGTGCGCTCACAGCCCAGAAAGCCAGCAAGCATGGTGGTGGTGGGTTGATGATTGGACTTGATGACCTTAGAGGTCTTTTCCAGCCTATGATTCTATGATTCCTATGAGGAAAGGCTGAGAGATTTGGGGCTGTTCAGCCTGGAGAAGAGAAGGCTCTGGTAAGACCTTATTGTGGCCTTCCAGTACCTGAAGGGGCCTGCAGGAAAGCTGGAGAGGGACTTTTTACAAGAGCCTGTAGTGACAGGACAAGGGGTAATGGCTTTAAACTAAACCAGATAGATTTAGACTGGATATAAGGAAGAAATGTTGCATAGTGGGGGTGGTGCCACATTGGCACAGGTTGCCCAGAGAGGTGGTCGATGCACCATCCCTGGAAACATTCAAGGCCAGGCTGGATGGGGCTCTGAGCAACCTCCTGATCAAGTTGAAGATGTCCCTGCTCACTGCAGAGGGGTTGGACTAGATGGCCTTTAAAGATCCCTTCCAACCCAAAGCATTCTATGGTTCTGTGATTCTATGAGTCAGGTCCTTATTAAATTATTTCAGTTTCAGGGAGGTGAGTGCAGCATTTTATGAGCATTAAACCCTCTTAGAAAAATTGGATTTTGACACACAGGCATGAGAGAGAAACAGATATTCTCATTAAACAAGAGACGATGCTAATGGTATGAATCAAGCAAACTCTCCTGAAGCAGCAAGGTGACCAGCAGAAAATACATGTTAAAAACAAGGAGCCATTCCTTAGCACGGGCTTGAAGTAAAAACAGTGCAGTGCTTGTCTATGTGATACCATTTAATATATGTAATTAATATGCAGCAGCAAGTAGGTGACTGTCTGAAGTCAGTGCTGCAGAGGCAATGGGTATAGGAAAGGAGATTGTTTTGAGATTAAAACCCCAGCGTGGGTGGCAGGACACTTGGTTGTGTTTCACACCTTGTCAGACTGCTTTTGTGAGCTTTATTGAATTATGTCAGTGAGTTGCTATCTGTGTCCTCCTGTATACGACTCCTACACTGAAATTAGTGCATTCCATAGTCAGTGTTAAAAAAATTAAATTATAAATACTGTGTGTTATAGCAACATTTCTTGCAGAGGTACAGGCACTTCTGTGATACAGTTTGGCTACACTGCATGCCAGACTTTTACAGTTTGTATCAGATTTGTTGTTTGCAATTACTCTTACTTTTCTGTCCTTTGGAAAAACACCAAGGCAGGAATGTGAAGTTGTAGCTGTATACAAAACCTTGATTCTCCCCTTTCATGTGTATGTTGTTTGCAATTTGGTCCATCTTAATAGATGGTTAAGGAGATACTAGAGACACTACAGTTTGTTTTAGTTTTGTTAAATGAAAAAGCAAGGATTGCTCATATCTGTTATAATGTTTCAAATCTTGATAATTATAATTGCCTAAAAATGCAAGCAGTGGGTCACTACTTAGGGTGAAACTCCTCTAATTAATTCAAGCATATCTGCGTTAATCTGAGATTGAGAACTTCGAAGATTCTCATGACAGTTACGGTGGTACATTTGTGTCCAAAGTTTATCAAAGCCTTCAGGCGTGTGTGCTTTATCCCAAAGCTTGCATTTATGCCTTGCCTGAATAGAAGCTGTGCTCCATTTGTAACACTTCTTGATATCCACGAAGACCATGTAGCTGATACTTTGCATTTCTGACTTCATATCTTGTGCTGTTGTGACGCACTGTCCCTCGTACAACGCGCTTGTCATAGAATCATAGAATCATAGAAAGTTTTGGGTTGGAAGGGACCCCTAGAGGTCATCTAGTCCAACCCCCCCGCAGCGAGCAGGGGCACCGCTAACTGGATCAGGTTGCTCAGAGCCCTGTCCGACCTGGCCTTGAACGTTTCTGGGGATGGGGCCTCCACTACCTCTCTGGGCAACCCGTTCCAGTGTTTCACCACCCTCATTGTAAAGAATTTCTTCCTTATATCCAGCCTAAACCTACCCTGTTTTAGTTTAAAACCATTACCCCTCGTCCTGTCACTGCTGTCTCTACTAAAAAGATTGTCCCCATCTTTCCTATAGGCTCCCTTTAAGTACTGAAATGCTGCAATCAGGTCTCCCCGCAGCCTTCTCTTCTCCAGGCTGAACAAGCCCAACTCTCTCAGCCTGTCCTCATAGGAGAGGTGCTCCAGCCCTCGGATCATTTTTGTAGCCCTCCTTTGGACCCGCTCCAACAGTTCCATGTCCTTCTTGTGCTGAGGGCTCCAGAGCTGAACGCAGTACTCCAGGTGAGGTCTCACCAGAGCAGAGTAGAGGGGCAGAATCATGTCCCTCAACCTGCTGGCCACGCTTCTCTTGATGCAGCCCAGGACACAGTTGGCCCTCTGGGCTGTGAGCGCACATTGCCGGCTCACGTCCAGCCTTTTGTCTATCAGTACCCCCAAGTCCCTCTCAGCAGCTGCTTAACCTCTGCAATTTCAATAGGTTCTTCAGCATCTCTTTGCCTTTCTGCGTTTCTCTGCTTCTGTGTGAGTGTGGATTTGCACATTATTGCTCGCTTTCTGAAGTGTACATCCCACCAGGCACTAGCAGAAAGCCCCAAAGAGAATCTGTCCTGAGACAGACACATCCTTCCAAAGCAGCTGTGAATTCATGTGTCTTAGAGTCCGGCTCAGTCTATCTGAGATTCTGAATTACAGGTTTGGAAATGAAAGCTGAGTCTCATCCACAGAAAGTGATTGTATAAGCTGCCTCGCACTACTTTGTTAGAATCAACATATCGTAGAAAAACTACTGTTCGTGGGTTGTTTAGCTTGGTCAGTCACTGGGGTCAGGATCTGGCCTTGCTGCAGTGAACAAGCTTTGCCATTAACTTTCAGTGTCAGAAATTTGCCCCCTGGTACATCTGTTGAAGCAGGAGAACAATTTACTGATGCCTGTGATGGTGATTTCTGTACTTTGGACCTTCATCCTTGTACCTGAACCAAAATACTCATCTTTTATTTCCTCTGAGTCACAGCTTATGGTGTTACTGTGCTTTCATGATTTAGATGAAGAGGCTGGCAAGCAGCTTTATATAGCTAATCTTTATATTGGCTAATCAGTAGAAAAGAAATATTTTCCTGCGAGTTTATTATTAACCAATATTGTAGGGAGTGGAAACTCTAACCAGGGTTATTCCCACATTTTGTTTGCCTAGATACGGAGCTTCAGCTCTGTGCTGGGCACCACATGTACTGCCACTTGACCATCCTGCCCTAACTTATTTCCAGCAAGCCATTCCTTGCATTGCTAGTGCAATGTGTTGATAGGCTTTTGTTTTTATAAACTGTTTCCATCACCTTGCCCACGAGCCATTTGTTTGTGCCTTAGCTATGGATACCTGATTCATGTTCTTTATTTTGTGTGCCTTTGATAATTCGAGAAAGTGTAAAGGCACCATTCTGGGAAGCAGGTCGTCATGCAGGGAAGAAGGCATTGATCTGAATTGATGCAGTATCTGAAAGATTGTATTCAAAACAATCATACTTCTACTCTTTTCTAGGTTAAAAGAAGGAGCCAAATTAAATTCCATCCAGCACTTTCAGCTGCTGACCAGGACTTTTCACATGACAGAATGGCACAAATTCTGAATTCCCATCTCCTGGCCTGAAGTTCCAGTCCTTACGGACTTCCTTGACTCTCATCAGCTTCAGTGTGCTGTGAGAGCCTGGAGTGCTTTTCTTTCAAAGAATTGCAAAGATTGAAAAAAGAAGCTCTCAGAAACTTAGAAAACACTAAAATGCTGTGAATTTAATTCCTCTATTCTTTCTTACATTTTAGTGTGCTCTTATTTCCTATAGTAACAGTGCTTCATTAACTGTACACTTAGATCCAGTTACTGAATGAAGCTGTTCTATATTCATCTCTTGCTGTCACGTTCCAGTATATGGCCCATGCCTTATTCCACACACATCATATAATTACTGCTGGATGAGGCCAAGAAGTAATGCGTGACTATATGACGGCAAGAACGTGCTGTGAGACACATTCACGGGAAACAGGAGCTAAGATGTCAAAGATGATTTTAACATGAATATTTCCATTCTTGGTGTCGTAACAATGTGATTCGTATAAAACACTGCTTTTTGTGGGATTTTTCACATCTACTGGATTGTTTTCAGAAAAGCAGAAGGATAAAACTCAATTTTTGACCAGTTAACACAAGAAGTCTCTGTTTAATAAAACCCTGCACCACATGGGTTTTATTATTCTTGTGAATGTGTTCAGGGGGATGACCTACCCTATTTCGCATGCAGATGCACAATATTGAGCCTCTTCCACTGTCATCTTTACAGTCTTCATGCCAAAATCTGTGCACTGATTTTATCAATCTAGTGGTAGGAAACAGTGACCTAACCAGTCACTTCTGTTGGGAGGATTTTGCAATGTCAAGAGGTCAGCATAGTCTCTTCCCACACCTACCATCAGTCCTTGTTCAGCCTGCAAGATGATGTACACACTGGTGAATTAAACAGCTACAGGAATTTCTATGTCTGTGAATTGCTGGATTGTAGTATTGTGTTAATGAAATTGATGGGTTATATAATTATGTTAGCAGGACGGTCCTGAGAATGCCTTTAGCCCATGACAAGGAGCTATCTCCCCAACTTCTCTTGAGTACTACTTGAAAGTTAGCACAAGCCAGAAATCAGTCCCAACAGGCAGTTTTGCAAGCAGACACCCTGCTATGCAGGCTGAGAGAGTTTAATTAGCATTAATATAGTCTGATGATAACCCTGGGCTGGAGAACAGACTGGCGCTGGTTTGTTTTTTAGTATCAATTTAACCAGAGCACAGGGGGATGAGGCGTGGGAAGTAGGACTGTTTTCTGCTGCTACTCCTGTGCTGTGTAATTCCCTCAAGGAAACTATTTGAAACTATATGAAAACTAACATGGCACTGCAGATGTTCTGAATCCTGCTAGGACAGTGTGGTTTGGCCCAAAGTGCAAAGGAGCTATCGCCTTTTGGTGTAGGAGGGAACCTGGTCATACGAAGAAATGCACGTTGTACTGAGTTGTTTTAATTTATGAAAATAGTTTCTAGAGTTTGTGTCTTTCTTCACTGGTATCCAAGTATGACACCCAGGCTGGAGCACTGCTTTGCACAATTCCTTTTGTTGCCTCAGATTTTTAAATCTGAAAAGATCACTGTCAATTTTTATTTCCTGTGGCTGCTGAAGCAGAACTAACTGCAAAATAGAGAAATTTTTCTACTGATTCACCAGAATGAAGAATTGTGGGCTTTTTCACATACCACTCAGCGACTCCCTGCAAATTTTGTCCTAGTGCAATTTTTTTTGGTTCTGAGCACAAAACATCAATTTAGTAACATGAGCTAAGCAGGAGAAAAAAGTTGTAATAAAAACCCACTTTTATTAAAAACTACTTCAGAAAGCAGTAGGGTGTAATGTAGAAAATTCAATGCCAAATTTCATGGGGGAGATGAGAGACATGAGTGAAGCGTGAGTTCCTTATTTTCCCTTTAGAAAACTATTAGTTTTTTTAAGTCCCTCTATTTGACTCCCAAGGTTTTCAGTGGGACTGAGGCTGCAAACTGTTAATTGCTTCCTCAGGTTCACCTCAGTCACCCTCAAGCCATGGACTAGCCTCTGAAACTAAAACCGGAGGCAGATTTTTTCCTCAAGGATATCTAATTAAACTGAGCTGCTTTCCACGTTCTCTAAGCACCACTCATGAAACGGGGACCCAGACCTAAGATGTTTTCCTTCAGTTAGGTTTCATTCTAGTCCATGATTGTCTCACACAGAAGTTGTGTTTTACCTCTGCCAAGAGGGTCCAACCAGCATCTCTCAAGAGGCACACAGCTCTGTTTTGCACAATGCAGCGCTTAACCTCCAAACAAAGCTGGAGATGAGAGCTGCTACCTTGCAAGGGTGCCAGGGAGAAGGACAGTGGTCCCTGGGTGTCAGGGGGAAGGGAGGACCAAGTGTACCGGCTGGTGTTTCACACAGAGCGGAGCTCAACTTGTCTCTGTGTGAGGCAGTGTTTTCTCCTGCTAGGTTGCCAGCTCCCACCACAGAATATCCCCTACCAAACCACAGCTCTGCGGCAAGCAGGGGCTTGCAGCTCTTGCCAAGTTTTGGTTAAATCTGTGAACTCATGGAGTGGGAGAGAGAGATATAGACTCAGCTTAGCGAAGACAAGAAACCATTAAGTATACTCCAAACTGCAGCTCTTGAGCTTCCAGAAGGTTTCTGACTCGTAACACAAATTACAAGATACCACATATTTTGTAACAGAGGACAAAAGTCTCTGACAGAAGACATTTTGTCTTGAGCATCTGCTAAGCAAAAGGCTTTCAATTATCAGCAGCAATGGAAAGATGACTAATTTTCATAAACATTTCTGAGAAAAACCCATACATTCCACATGACTTACTGAATATAAAACTTGATAGTTTTGAGGAGCAGGAACACACACACACATAGGTTTTTACATCAGCTGCTATATTTTGAAGGATCTTTGAAATTAATATGTAAGTTAACAATTTATTTGTAAAGTATTTCAGCATTCAGTCAACAGAGATTGCATGCAACAACTTTGCAGAGAAAAGAGTGCAGACATTTCATACAAAAACTAGGAAGTTTCAACCTTGATGTTAAAAACCTCTGAGCTTTAACCTTGGAACTGAGACCATGCTGCTGTTTGTTTGCCAAAGGCTTTGGTGGTGACTCTTAGTTGCTTTCTGCTCTTAGCAGGCCAAGTTGCACAAAACACATAACTTGTGAAAACAGTATAAAATCAGAATGGCAAAACTTGGCTTTCTTTTATATCATGGCTATTACAAGAGATAATGTAAAGGAGCTCAAAATAAGTGTATATATTATAGTTTCAAAGTGCTTTATTGTCACCAAAATGGATTAAAATAGCCATGCTGTAAAGGAGAATTAAGTCCCCAAAGGAAAACTTAGAAATTTAAATTTTAAGTGTAAATATATACACATTTAAAATAAATATATTTTGACCCTTAGTGCTGACTTTGTCCAGTTCAGTAGCAAAATGAATGCTTACGAAATAAATATTAAGAGTATATCTCCATAGTCTCCAAATTGTAAGATCATTGCTAAACATAGATATGAAGAAACCAGTATAGCTTTACGACTATTAATCTTTATTGGGTAAATGTGTGTGTTACAAAGTAAGCAAACATTCCTAACACAACAAGAAATATTTTTTTAAGATTTTTCCTACTGTGAATATTAGCTTATGATGCCATATATCTCATGGAACTTGCGCACTTATTCCAAAAGAACAACATTATCTGATTACCTGGTGGATGGGTTTTAGTCTGAAGGCATGCCAGAATTTTACTAAAATGTTTATTAAAATAACATGGTCTCAGGTTTTGAAAACTTATCTCGTGCAAACCTGACCCAACTTCATTAAAGAAACAACAAAACTCATCGGATGACAGTTAGTTAAAGCTAATATTTTCAGTGGTTGATGCATAAAACTAAAAAATCACAAATCATAAACATCAAGTATCAACATGCATTTTTCATCATAAGATGTGGTTTACATACAATAGGAATGTGTACAGGGACATACAAAGTCATAGGGCAGATTTTTATTCCTTTGCTCTGTTGTCATGATACTGGTATCTGTAGACAGTCTAAAAGACTTTCACATAAATGCTTTCCTAACCCACCTGCTTGTTATACATTAATGACAGGTAATGTCTGGTTAAAATGTAGTTTATATTTCATCAGCTTGTGTGTGGAGAGCCAGAATGTGCAGAAAATACAGTCAGGCTTCAGTATGGTCTTAGTATATTTAGTGCTGATTCTGATGAATAGAAAATAGCAAGACAAGATTTCAGGTACTAAAATTTTGAAAAGCTGTTGACAAATATTAATGTTGAAGAGTGTCCCAGTCTACTGTGACCAGAACTTCTGAGCCAGCTAGCATTTGCTTTCACCAATTGAATACTGAACGGGGTTAGCTGCTGCTCTGCGAGGCTGCAGTGTCTTTTCCTGAAATACCACTTCATGGAAGGCTGGTAGGAAAAGTGTGTCAACAACTTCACTGTTAAGTAAATATGCAATATTAAAAGGTACATCTTTCTAAAATAGCTCCAAACTCCACAAGGCAAGTTTCTCTGCTTGTGGTGTTGGCATATCCCAACTTCTCCAGCATATATGCCTGTGCTTTGACACCTTGCATTCAGTTACATCAAGTTTCAAAAGGCCAGGAAGAAACATTACAGTTCCCCTGTCTGATCCCCTAAACACTGCAGACTAAATTACCTTAGCTTCAAGCTACTGCTAAGGCAAGAATTACTACCACTCTTTTTTTAAGAGACATAGAGTAAGCTTAAATATGTACTAAAAATCTATTAAAGATGACACCAGATACATCTTCAGAGGTTTGAGGTGGGAATGCAATAAACCTGAATCCTTGACATCTTTGTTTTCACATTTTTTCTTCTACTTGTAAAGTTCATTCTAGTCCAGTAAATACTTCCTCCTTTAAATCTAGTCTCAGTGGAGCCTACTTATAATTCATTCAGGCCTGTTTCCATGATGCAAACTTAAATGAACATATAATAAGAACTGAATAAATGAACAGAGAAACATTAATCAATTGTTCTGTTGCCAGTATATACTTAACTAAAGTATATTTGCAGACAAAATTTGCTTTACTGGGCAGACTGCTCTCTAAATTAATTAAAATCCTTTTCCTTTGTTTTTCAGTCACTTTGGAGAAGAGAGCAATAGCAACATTTAACAATTCACTAGATACAACCCAGATGACAATACATCTCTGTGAATCTGTGTGTCAACTACCCAATGTATTTAGCTCATCTCTGACACACAAATAGCAACACATTGCATCAAAACAAGCCTTCTTGATCTTTCATTGTTGTAATGCTATTGCACAGTCCAGAGAAAAATACCGATTCCGAAAAAGGCGTTTCCTCAGATAAACATCTATTAGGTTGTTACTTATTTTACTTGGTTTCAAAAAGAAGAAACCCAGCAAAGGTAGAGAAGCGTTGATGGTCCCCATGGAGGGCTCCATTTCCCATTCGCAGCCAAACTTCATCTCCCTTGGCAAGTTTTAGCACTGCACTGTTTCCTGAAGTGTCTGCTTTCCCTTTTGATTCATAGCTAAGGATGAATATTTTAACAAGTCAGACTTTTGTTTCTTAACAGTGATCAAGCAAACAACATTTAAAAAAACAAATCCAGGAAAGCACATTGTATCTTTAGCAAAACTTGCTTGAAAGGGTTGCCAACATTTATTCAGCTTTATGTGGAAATGTTGGCATCTTTCTGCATTTGATCTCCGAGTCAAATTTTGCACCTTACCTTATTGCACCATTTCATTCCTTTCTGAAATTCTGGAAGTTTAACTTAGGTGTTTTTTTCCAGGGCAGAGGAACAAATTTATTGTTTAAAATAAAACTCTCCTCATTCATCACAACTCTCCAGATTTCCTGTGATGCTCTTTTTCCCTTGGATTCACCCCAGCTAGTTTTAAATGCCTCCAGGTGAGGAGTCTCATGTGAGCTGAGCCCCTGTGCTCCCAGCACAGGCAGTGGGCAGAGACAGGCAGCTCATCCCATCCTGGGGCCTTTTGTTGGAACATAGATAGGTCCAGCATGGGCTAACCTGCTGGCTTTGAGGGCGCACTGGTTCCCTTTCTTCCACCTGTTGCGTTTCTGACATCAAGGCTTTGGGGAAAAAATATGGGCACTTTTCCTTTTGCAGGGAAGATCTATTGGGAATGAAGCATCCTTTGGTGGTGCTTCAGGTACGGGCTGTTGAAGAGACCTTGACAGCTTAAATGAACCTGGTATCATCTAAATGCCTAAAGTCCAGTGTGATAAATCTGAGCTTTTGTGTCTGTCTGTTCAGGCTCAGGAGAGGAGCTTGGTTTTGTCATCAGACCGTTGGCTGCTATTAAAGAAATAATATTTTTTTCCAAACACATATTTTTTTCAGATATCCATCTGACTACAAGCTTCTTGACCTGGTCTTTATAGATGTTGATAACCTACAAGGGAGTCCTATTCTTGATGATCCTCCAACTAATATAAAGAGTTCAGAAACTTTTTATTCCACATGTGCTAATGATAACAAAGCCAGTAAATGGAGGAACTTTGCTTGTTGCTCATCTTTACTACCGCAGTTAAAATGCTCTCCACCTTTAAAGTCAATTGCTCTCCCCTAATCTTTAACAAGAATGTTACTATTCTGACAGGCAAAATGAGGATGAATATATGTTTTTGCAGAATGACAGCATGTTACCACTGGACTCCAACCCTGCCTTGCAGTGCTAATTCCTTTTCCCTGAGCTTTGAGGAACTTGTGATCAAGGCTGAATTTTAGGTGCAGGATCTGTGGCAGGTATGATCCAGATTTTCAAGTTAAGGAGGGCAAAATACAATAGTTTGTTGGTTATTTTACCTGACAGAATTTCTTCAAAAAATGTATGATTTCATGTTTCTTGAAATGTGAGCAAGCCATCATATCTGTGCAGACATGTCTTTTGCATTAGAATGGCCTGGTCCACCACTTACCTATATAAGCTGAAAACTGTATTACCGTTATGCATCAGGTACACGTACACTTCCTCCACATCTTCATGTTTCATCATATTGAAGGTGAAGAAATACACCCCTGAAAAGATCACCAAATACAACGCGTTTGCTTTATAGAGGGAGGTAGTCATGCTGCAGACTTGTATTTCTTGCTTAGAAAACATAACAGCTGAGGCCAAAATTACCTTCCAGTTGTCAATGGGTATTTTGCTTCTGCTTATAGTTTGCCAAAATCTGATGCATTTTTATTCTGCATATGGCAGGGGTGCAGCCACGTCCTATTGCGGAGAAATGACTGTATTTGAACAGGGCAGGACCGCTCCTTCTCATTGGAAGGGAAATTGCTCAGAGGCTGAGTTTGGTGGCCTCTCTCTCACCCTTTTTCCCTTATCTTCTTGCTCCTGCCCCCTCCCAAAAGGGCAGCCTCCAGGGCACAGCCTCAGAAGCTGTCACACAGCCAGTATGTTGCCCAGGCCAGGCAGGGCATGAGTGGTTTTAGCAGCACCCACTGCTGCTCCCCTGACCACACCACATCATGAACAACATAGACACAGCCACTGCTTTCTCTTCTTGCACAACACGCCCTTACCATCACCCTTTTTAGCTCTTTCTGTATCTGAAAGGTGCCAAGAATGTTGCCAGTGCAACCGTGTTATGTGTCCTGCACTCTACAAGACTCCTCCAGCTCCTGGCTCCTGAACAGTACTTCTGTAGCTTTGACGCTGCAATGGGAGCTTGGAATTTGTATCAAAGTCATTAAATCATTGTGGGTCAAAGTTTACTGACATCCATGTGTACATTGACCTCAAAAGAAAGCATCTGTGAGGACACACACCCCTAATCATCAGTAAGATGTGGTACAGCAAGCCTGGAGGGCCTGACTTTTAGTGAATTTAGGAACATTTCTCATAGCAGTGAGTAAATGAATGGCAGGGTGAGAAAGGCTAAGTGAAGGAAGGTGGATTCTGGCTTTGCTTAAACATCGTTTTCGTTATGGCCCTGCCTCCCCAATCTCGTATTTTCTTCCTGTGCCACAGCTATGTAAGATGGGGAATTGATGCAGCTGAAAAATAACTCAGGAAAAACTGTAACAGCTCATCTCCAGACACACGTTTGTTGCAGGCCAGCTCACAGCTGAACTGGCATGAGGAAACATGAGGATGAGGAGAGTGACTGGAGGCAGGAGGTGTAGGAGGCAACTGTGAAGCTGCTGCTGCTGGAAGATCAAGGCCATGGTTATCTCATCACAGTGGCTGAAGAGCTCAAGGTCTCAAAGCAGATGGTACTGCTCCCTCCCCAGCTCCGGCCATGCCTCTTCCTCTGCCTTTGCACCAGTGGTAGTCTCACTGGCTGGCAAGCCATCTCCTGGTTTGCTCCGTTCCCAGTTTCGTTTTTCCTGAAAGTAGGTAGCAAGAGCTATGCAGAGGGAGTCTCACCAGTGCCTTGTGCAAAGGCAGTTAGCTAGTTTCTCACCATTGCTGTCCACACTTCTCCCTATTGCTCCCAGAATTGCGTTAGTTTGTTTTGCAAACACTCACCATTCACTGGAGCACCAAATCTCCCAGTCATGACGTCAAAAAAATTCCCAACGTTTGTTTCGACACTACTGAAGATGATCCCACTGTTCTGGTTGCTGAAGTGAGTAGCCATGGAAGCCATGAATGCGACCTGCAAAAATACTGTTCTTATTCAGGCAGTCGTTCATGAAATGCACATGTGTAGAGGAACCAGCTACAGAATTTTTTCCTGTGTTTGCGGTCTGTTTATTTTCCTGACAGAGATGTTCTTCTAGGGCCTGCTCCAAGGCCATTAAACTCCAGTAACAAAACTCCCATTGAATGAAACTGGAAGCGGACTAGGCTTCTTCATTCAATTGGACTATTCATGACTGTAAAAGTAAGTGTATGGGAGATCAGGACCTTCGGTTGGGATTTTATTTGCTTTTAAGTCTCTCTAGAATGATGCAACATAAAACTGGTATTGAAAGGGATGATTTTTCTGACAAAAGTGATTTAATTAGTTTTTATATGTTCTCGAATGCATTTAAACTGGATATTGCTTTTAACTGAATGTGTGAAATAAATAATGCTCTGTAAAATCCATGCACATTAGTGTTTCTTGCTAACTACCTTCAGAGATACGTTCAGCATTTGTATTAGAGGTTGTCTAGAAGTGCAGTTGCTGGGACTCAACATTCAGTGCTTTTTCTCTCCTACCAGTTGCCCTGTACCCTCAGTCACAACAACAAAGGGTGGTGGAGACCAAAAGAGGACACTAAGGAAGTGAAAACTGTGCTTCAATTTCGTGTTACACTTCTTGCAGAGAGACGTACTGGTTGTGGAAAATGTTTCGTAGGCAGCAGTGCAAAAACTCCCACATTGGACAATCCAGATTACCCTCTGCAAGATTCCAGGGAACAACCCTGCCAACTTGCATGGGCAGGGAAGGGGATTATCTCTTCTGTGAGTCTGTGATCCCCCCATCTGACTGTCAGTAAACAGGGCACAGGCAGAATTGAGGCACCTGGATGCCAGAAAGTCACATAGAGACTTTGCATTTTATCACTATTTCTTAACTTCTTAGACAAGAAGTGTTCAATTACAGTTGTTGCTGCCCCTCGCAAAAATGACATTCCAGCTATACTAAAACCCACCCCAAACTTCTTTTGATTTCTGATCCAAATGAGTATAAAACCAAAATAGGCAAAATCAAATGCAAGTCCAGATCCAACAATGGAGATCATTAGCCATCTGCACAGAAATTTGAGGAGCTCCAGATGTGAGCTGAAAGCTTGGGCTGATTTTCCTTATCCCTGCATGGATGCATTTCCTATGACGGCAAATTGTTAACGTCTTGCTTCTCAGCAAGGATCACATCAAAGTTCATCATGCGTTAAAGGAAAGCAGATGCAATGGCAGCTTGATGGAACTTATTGCTTTTTGTCTAGATTCCATTTCACATTCTCTTTGACCCTAAGTTACTTTTCTTGGGCTGATCAGAAGAGTTGAAAAAGATGTCCTTTCTCCCTAGGTCTCATTTTGAAGCAGCAGATCAACATGGACATGGCCAAGTCTTCCAAAATAATCCTGTACTTAAAACAGTATTGTATTTAAAAGTATTTTCTCCTCTACCTACCCCCACTCTAAAATTCTTCAGCATGATGTTAACAAGAAATTATATGCTACACTATATTTTTAAACACATCTGTTAAAAACAGTGATGGAATTTTACTTGGAAATAAATTTTGCAATATGAGCTTTTGTTATTCATTCTCTTTCATTATTCAGTTTTTAATTAAATTACTACCACTATCTTTATGTAAGAAAAAAATGCTGATAACTCATTTTAAAATTGAAAAAGGGTTTATGTTGAATGTAATTACAACAAATATGTTTTAAGATATTCAGCTGTAAAGTTAATTCCAGTTAATTCTTTAAGAATATTAAAATAATTCTGCTTTATTACAGAAGTCCAGTAATTTTGGAAACTGTTTTTATTGTGAATTTTATTCCAAGTTATCCCATCTTCATACAGCCTAGGGTGGAGAATTCAAACATACACAATGCCGAGAAATCTAAAACCATTTTCCCACATTGCACACATTGGTTGTACTGTTGATTTTGCTGTTAATTTACTTGCCTTTTATGAGGTTATAAAACATATATGAATTACTGTTACTGTGAAACAGTATCATTCAGTTAAAAGGTGTTGATCTGTACATAGTTCAGAACTTCAGTTTTCCCTATAGTCAGAAAGTTTGGAAGTGGAATTTCTTTTTGTGTGTTTGCTGTATCCTATTTTGTCTCTTTTGTGGTGAACTTGGTTTGGGGGTTATGAATCAGATCAAGACTAACACACTTCCATTAAAATGTGTATGTGTGAGTGAGGATATAGACTCCCTTACTGTTTCCAGAGGTCTGTACATACTCTGTGGTGTCTGAATATCCATTTGCTCAAAAGCAGCAGTGACTGTCAGATCAAGCTGAGTTGCTTATGTAGATCACCAGTAACTGCAATGAGAGCTTAGATGCTTCACTCACATATAGGCTCTCTGGAGCTGAGTCTGGATGCCAACACTCGCCCATGCAAATGCACCTAGTGCCATCTGAAGTGCTTTAGGATCCCCATGCATGGGCTGGCTGATTGGATCTACAGAAGCCCCTTGCACAGTGGCAGCTGTGGACCAGGAAGAACACATCTCAAAGGCTTGTCACGCATCTAAATCTTGCCATTAGCACCTTGGCTGCGCTACATCATAGAGTTAATCGAGTCTTCCTGCTATTGTAGATGAACTGCTTGTGTGTTGCTAACTGCAGTATACAGTGTGGGCAACTTTTAAATCCCCTTTGCAACAGCAACCAAGTGTCTTCATTATCCAAGTCCCATTTACTTTCATTGCCTTAAGGACAGGACTACACCATGTCTCTGCAGGTATACTGCAAGTATATATGTACCCATATGCTTTCCACCATCTGCCAGATTCCTGGGACATGAGGAACACTAATGCAAAAGCTATGGGACTATGCCAACACAGTCTTGAGCCCTAAAAAATATATCCCATCCCTCAGCAGAGCTTGTCAGCTCAGGCTCGAACCCACATTTTAATGCTTATCTGTTTTTTGGGTAGTTCATTCACAGAATCTACATGCTTCTCCACTTGTTTGAGGCGTCTAAATGTATAAAAACACAGATAGCTACTGAGGGGTATTTTTCAAAATCAGAGGACTTTGGTTTGCACTCAGAGGTTTTGACCCCATACTTTGAGGAGCTGGTAACGTGTGCTTCTGAGATTCTCACAAAGCCTAACTGACCTGACAAGCAGGAGCCTGAGTGACTCCTTTAGTCTCTTCATACGTCGTAGGAAGCGCAGTTATGTATGTGATACAGCCTGACAGAAAAATGAAGGTCCACACTATTGTCTTTTAATGACCCCAATACTGGTTTTCTGCCCTAAAAGGGAACCATTTGTGTTTCTTCCTGTCCATTTCTCAGATGGATTCTTACTCTAAAGAAAGACTAAGCCCCGATATCTTTCTTTTTCCAGGGATATTTGGCAGAGTGTATTTGTCAGTCATGATTTCCAGGGGATTTGCTTCTTAAGTATCTTACAGTAGTTAGGTGCTGTTTTTCAGAGAAGAAAACCATAATCTGAGAACTGCTGCAGCCAACATGTGCCAGAGATTTTGTACCTGTAGTTCTGGGGGAATCCCAGGGTAACCCTTCTCGCCTTTGGGTCCATGATGGCCACGCTCTCCCCTTGGTCCCATATCTCCTTTGTCTCCTTTCTCACCTTTGGCTCCTTCCTGGCCAGTTGCTCCATTATTTCCATTGTTTCCATGATTTCCTGAAAGGAAACAGAGCTTTCTGTTTAATGTAAACAATTTCATATAATATATTTTAACAGATAACTGCGACAGGGTCTTTTCCCACCCATTTGCAACACATGGACTTTTCAGTACCATAAAACACAGACTGAGCTGCGATGGGTAAGAAACAGCCGTGTGGTAAAGCTGAAAGTGAAGGTTTTGATGAGCAAGTTTCCAGAAGGATGTAGGTTGATGTTGAAGAGCTCACCCTCATGCTATCTGGGTGTTGCTCCGTAAACTGCTGATGTCTCCAGTCATTGCATTGTTGGGGAGATGTGCAAGGACGAGACCTCAGCAAACGTGAGGCTCAAGGAAAGCGAAAGCTTATTGACACATACCAGGTAGCTTGCTTAAGCACCCTTGCCTTTCCTATTGTGTAAAAAATTATTTCTTGATAATATAAGTTAATTAGGATAGGATATGATAATTCTGAATAACATTTTGCTAGCTTTAAAACATGTCTGTCCATATGACGAATGGCTGTAGCCTTAAACTAGCTAAATGACCCGTCTGTGCCAAAAAGGGGAGAGTGTGCATTATCAGGGTGCTGGTTAGCTTGAAGGGGTTGATTGATTACATGTTCCTACATTTAAAGAAAGAGAAAATTTTTATAATGAAGCTTTTCTGAGATGGCTTCTTGTCAACAGGGTCATTACAAAAACATATTCCTGCATCTGCAGTATTACTTACTTCCTGATGTTTACTGAGGAAAATACTGAGCAAATGTCTATGCAACTGACAAAATTTTAAAGATGGCTGGAATCACTGAGAAATTATGCCTACCTGAAACAAAGCCTGACCTTTCAATTAATTACTCAGGAGTTTAATTAGTATCATCGTTGTTCTAATTCAACCTGAACTGAAATTAGATTCTTTGCCACTCTACTTGTTCTCTGGTTAGTCACTCTAGTTATGAATTTATAATAATGATGTTAGATCTGAGATCAAATCTAATGATTAAGTGATTTTTCAGAGTTTTTGTACTGAGAAAAAAAATTACTTCAAACAAGGAAGCTAAACGGTTCAAGAAATTAAGCAAAATTTTATTTGGATAGAGAAATCAGTAACTCTTAAAAATAACAAGAATGATCCTTCATGTAAAGCCAGAACTAATCCTCTACCAGTTCAGAAAAGAAGTCTGCAGACGACGTTTGATTCAATCAAGGGAAAAGCAGCTGTTGTCATTCCCCTTACAGGCACAATGATATGCAATGCAGCAGAAGGAGACAGAGAAATTCCAGGGTGTAGAAGGTTGCTGTCGGCCATACATTTGTGGCATCCTGTGGTGACAAGAAAGTGTGGCTGGGATGCATCCTCGGAGGAAGAAACTGCAAAGCTGGGACTGGGCTGTGTCCCAGTACGTCCACTACAGCTTAGAAAGTGTGGGTCTTATATCAAATTGTGTCCCACTTCTAAGTAGCCAACAATTTATTAATATGTAATGCAATATTTCTGCACAAGAGGCCTCACTATTAGATTTCTCTTACTTCTGTAATGGTCATTAGTATTTTTGTAAAGGGTTGATGCATGGATAGCTTACAGCAGGCTAATACCAAATATACCTATGACCTTATTTTGCCCAATACTCAAAATATGTCAAAGTAACAATTAATTTCAATATTTTGCCAACTGAAGCTAGTTCTTAAACACTTCATTCACTGAGATATAACTTCATAACATTCAGATTTATCTGTCACTGTACAAGATTTCTACCCAAAATTACTATATTTATTTTTTGCATGTGTGATTATCTGTCATGTCTGTTACTGTCAGTATGTTTGTGAGAAAGGAGGATTATGAAATTGCATTTTTATTGTGATAACACAAGATGTAAGCTTTTGAAGATGAGACAAGTCTGTCAATCAGTAACACGTTGATTTACATTATACATCTGCTTTAGGAATGGTGATTTTCAAATCCCTGAAGGTGACTGCTGTAATAAACTTAGACCAACATGAAAGTATCTTTTTCCCTTCTCTAGGCTTTTCTTTTTCCATACCAGGTATCAGATTGAAGTATACCCTTTTCTTAGGTATCCTCTTCCTCTGTGTGCATTTTTAATGGCAAAATAAAAGGTACTTTTTATTATGGAAGACAAGCAGAAAGAAGGAAAAGAAGACATTTCTATGAGAGAACAGAAGCACGTGTGTCTTTGTAAAATAATGGCTAGCAGTATGCTAGATGAAAAAAAGCTCTTGAATACAGGACACAATAGCATAGCTGGATATTCAAAGGTGATCGCAATAATCAACTCTGGGGAACAAGTACTTCCAACTTTAATGGAAGCTTCATGCTGGTTTAAGAAGAGAGAACAATTTGCCCTAGAAATGTAATAAGATTACTTTCAGTATGAATTTGTGAAATCTGAATTTTAATAACTAATGGGTTTTCACTGGAAAGACTTTAGAGCCTAACTGAAAATCTCTGTCTCTCCAGAAACTACAGAAAAACGTATTTCTGAATCTGTCCCCAAATACTGATGTTTGGACCATTCTCTGATGTTTCATAGAATAGCCTATAACTTATAGCCTGCAATTAGACTGATCGAAAAATCAATTGAACTTCATCTTTACCTGGCATCCCAGGGGGCCCGGGAGGTCCTGGGGGCCCTTGGTAGAGTCGAACTCCAAAGTCACCACGGCAGCAGGAACTACAGTCTGGATTCTGAGGTCCGGTTTGTGGGGGCTAAGTGTAGAAAAATAAGCTTTAAATAGCTCATTCATGGACGGCATCGATCATACGCATGTCGGTTACAGGGTCTTCATTACATATTCTCTGTTTATATATTTGCTAAGTTTTCAAAACACTTCTTATCTGGGCTGAAATCTCCCATACTTGGCTTGTCCCTGAAGGTGTTATTTTTGGAAGATTTAAAGGAATAGCTCTTCAAGTGTGCTAAGAGCTGTATGAATATTAAAACCCCAACTTGTGCTGTCAAATAATGAGGGTTTTGAAAAAAAAATAATACCAGGTGATGAAAGTTAGATGAACATTTCGTTTAGGTTCCTATCCTGCTTTTCAATGATCCCACATTTCAGCTGACCTTTCTTGAAAACAAGCCTATATACAACGAGTGGTGGGGCACAAGGGACTTCATTTGATCTTCAGCAATGAACTATCCTCCACTATACGTAAAGACAACTGTGTTGGACCGCCTGAAGGAGATGTTAAAAAAATGTCTGCGCAGCATATTCCCGTTCATGGCCCCAGGCTTGCATATTTACAGGCTACAAAAGTTGGGAGAACCTGAAAAAGTGCCAGGATACATGACAAAAATTTGAACTGACCACAACACCTGGTGTTATGGTCATTCAATTATTTGTAGTTGTGGATGTGTAACTATGAAAACCTGTTTTATATGCTGAAACTAATAAAGCAGCATAAATAAATTAATGAGTTTATTATACGCAGCTCAGCTACTGTAAAAATAGTTTGATAATGGTTTTGTTTCAGTGCTTTTCTTTCCCAAATTGTTGTATTTATACTGATGGAGTCTCATTCAATTCTGGCTGGAGTTCGTCACTAGGCTCTTGCGATGCCTTAGCGGTCACAAAGCTTCTGATGGATCAGCTGAGGTAAAGGTATGGGGTTTGATTTTATTTCTTTACCTCCTTCTCATTTCTCCTTCTTCATTTCTTTTCCCCTACAATTCTTTGCGATTGTCCTGAGGTGCAAATTGGCAGTTCTTAAATTCTGGAGGGGGATGGTTACACCAGTGTGACTGCTACTTTTCTGTAATCATTCTACTGTTTGTTCCTCCCCTTTCTTTCCTTTCATCTTTATCATCCTCAGATTACTTCCCTAATGCAGGCCTATTGGTTTAAAGGCAGCAAATAAACCTCTGGTGGGATGGGAGCTGCCAAATGAACACATAGATGTGCTGTATTCCTGCCCTCAAGGTCATTAGCTGGCTTGATTTGCAACACTAAAGCTTTCTGCCCTTGTTTTGAACAATACCAAGTTCACCCCCCAGAATTTGTTATTTTCAAGAGGCTTGGGAGTTTATGTTTATGGATACAGAAAACTCCTTTCATGGCACCAAAATACTGCAAGTCCTCCAATGGGACAGACACACGCCCTCTCCAGCTGGATCCGCAGATGGTGGAGCTACCATGGGAATAAAGGCTGACCTGACAGCTCAATAAATATGCTTCATATTCAAAGAGTTATGGAAATGTTAAGACTTGCCAATGGGCAGAAAGGCTGCATATTTATGGGGTTTTGGTCAATACTACTCTTTTTAGCTTAATTCTGGATAAGGTCTATATTTTATGAGAAAAATGCCTGTTGGACTGTCTGTTCCTGGAGAACTTGTTTGTATCTTTCTTGCTGTTTTATCTCTCCCAGTTGTTAGGAAGAAGATAACTGACAACCACCAGACACACTGTTTAAAGCTTTCCTAATGTGAGAGAAGAAGTAGCCCTGCTTTCAGCTCATTTTCAGTCCTAGAAGGGGAGCCAAGTACAGGAGGACTGGAATTGCACAAGCATTTTGCACCACCTGAAATGCTAATATGGAGTGTTGCACTGAGATTCAAATCTACAGCTTTTTTTTGATAGTGCTTCATATTCATGTTAAATGAGAAGGCAAACTATATACACACTTGCCAAGAGCAAATAAATCCTATCAGCCTAGAAATATCCAAAGACTAAGAATTGTGGATTAGAGGGAAGGGAAGGCATGAATCCAGAAAACTGGGTTGCATGTGAGACTCTCTCTGTGCAGGTCAGATTTGTTTTTTCACCCAATGCACTGAAATCTCGAAAGACATTATTAGCTAACCAGCTATGTTATCATAAAGCAGATCTTAGTGCTGATCATAACCAAATGCTATTTGGCATTTACCTTTCGAAAAGCTCAGCTGGTTATTACGTGTGAAATGAGGCAAGTCTTGCCAGCCTGGTTGTATGCGAACAGTTCCACTGACTTGAAAATAGCTACTTACGCAAGTCATAAAGTAGTATTGACTTATTATCTTTACTGATCCTTTGACTAGGAGGAAAAAAATATTCAGAGTCAGCTGCCAAGAACAATGAGTATTCAGGATATTCTTTTAATCTCTAAAACCAGAGAACTTCATGAAGAGTACATTTAAAGAAAAAACATGTTCCTAAAGTAAAATTACACTCAAATGGGACAAAGATTAATTACAACCACTTGCCAAAGATGTCCTATGGCAGACATTTGCACATAAATTTTATCATCCAATGAATCTTTGGCATTGCTTTCAGAACTTGAATATGATTTAGGAGCTTGTGAAATGCATCTGCTACATTGATATCCTAATAGAGATAGAAAACTGGAAATATTTCTGAGGCTATTTGCTGAATTTTCTATGGTTTAGTATGTAAGAGGCAGTTCTAGGCAGCAGATATTCAACAACATTCCCTTACCTCAAGCTGTGAACGAATCAGAACTGGAGACCCAGCCCTTTTTCATTTCCTGATTAATTTTATGTGTTTCTGTTATATTGTCTAATCAACGCAGAAGATGAGTAATGTACATCCACCATTCTTTGCCTCTGTTCTGAAAGCAAAATAGCATGTATCTGTGGGCACTAGGGCCCTCTGTGCCCCTTCTCTAACAAAGAATTAAAGAAACCGAAATTGCCATGCCAAAACTACCAAAATTCAGGGTAAAACACCAGTAGGTTGAGGGGTACCCGAAGGTTTTCAAAGAGCCACCTGAAAAGGAAGAATGTGTCTGGCATGGCTCTCCCCATCAGTAAGATTTCTTGTGCTTGAGAAATGCACTTTATATTTTACGTAAGTTACCAGCAGCATGGAAACTGGTCTTGTACCCAGTGCAGCAAAGACCAATGCTATTGTCTTTATTCCACAATAGGGAATGGGACAGTTAAAACACTTTAGCAAGAGGGTGAAATTCTCCAGCCAGAGCTAAGATAACCAAGAAAATAGGGACTTGAGGGGTGAAACAGCTTTCAGATAGCTCAGGGAGAAGGGAGACTTTTGACTTGAATTAAAACATGTCTGTGCCACCTTTGTTCCGCCTCTGCCTGGAAATCCCTGGAGTCTGGAGATGGAAAATACCTATTGCGTCAGCCAATCTGTGATGGATTATCCCTGTCATGCATCTGCTAGTGCTCGATTTCATTTCAATAAGCCAAAAATTGCATCATTTCCTCAGCAAAGATTGCTTCTCAGAGAGGATCTGGCAGATAAATGACTGCCATCAGCTGTACTCTGACTTGCTGGGCTCAGTTTTAATGTCACAGCCTCTTCCCCCAGCAGGCAACTCCGAACAGGTTGCATTAAACTTTCTGATGAAAGACACATGCACCCCAAACACAGTGACGCTTTCTGTGAGGGAAGGTTTGACCCCTAAAAAAGATGTAATTTTATATCAAGTCCTGCATTATCTGAAATTGTGTTCAGTTAAAGGGGAATCTTCTTGAATTACCCATAATACATGGTCTGTGGTATGCAGCTGCACAATTCTTTCTGCAGTAAAGAGGTATGCACACACTAGCTGGCTCATTGGACTACTTTACACTCTTTATATACTGCAAGTACAATTTAACATACCTAGAGTTAAATATCTATTTTGCTGAGTGCACTGGAGGAACATATAACTCCTGCCCAAGAAATATGAAATGCAAAGCACTGTAAAATTTAAAGACTGGGAATATAGTGGTGTAGTAAACCTATTCCCATATTTGGATGTGTTTCAGTTCTTCAAGCCTAGGACAGGATTAAAATCAGATCTCCTCTCTGTTTATCATGAGGTAGGTTATTATTCAACACCTGTTTGCATGCCCATGATTTTTTGGAATTCAAAAAATCATAGTTTGTTCTGAAAGAGTTTAAAAAAATGAATAATAAAAGGTGAACTATACAGGACTCAAACATTTGAATCAGCAATAGGAACAAAACACTCATGTTCTTGTTGTTTCTAAAAAATATCAATCAACAAAGACTTAATTTGAGTGGAATTTTGTTTTGCCTAGTGCTCGAAAAAGTTTCATCTTCTGCTCTTCAGATTATTCCTTTTAAATTTGGACTGCAACATTTTATGTATAATCACATTACGCCGTTTTCTCTTTGCTGTGAGCTAATGACTATAATATCTGAAATGCCATGTAAAAGGCATACAAAGATTCCCAGTTTAAAACACAGATACAACAGATGATTTAGAGTTTCATTCTGAGTCTTTTTGCTCTGAAACTGTGAAGTAGACATATAGTGTTAAATCTACTCATTATATGAGTATCTGTTTTTTTCAAGCTATTACTTAGAATAAATTTTTTGAACACTCAGAATGTCATTATGTTTGTCTCAAGCTCAAAAGAATATATTTTATATACATAATTTTCAAGTAAATTTATTCTCTGCTAATTGGATCTTTCCAAGTATCTCTATAAATTCAGTAATTTTCCTTCACATCCAAATGAGTTAACAGAATCTAAAACTTCAGTACATTAAATAAGTAATACCTTGAAATAATTCAGACTGTCTGTCAGAGTATACGATTGCACAGGAGCACAGTTTCAGCAAAACAACGGTCTGCTGTCTGTGTTGAATCCAGTGTTCCCAGCCACTGCTGGTTCTACCAGCTCATTAAAAGATCCTATAAAGCAGCCCAGCAGGATACAGACCAATACACAGCTTTAATAGAAATAATTTCATAAACATATCACTAATAATCTTAGCAAAAAAAAATATATTTCATTAGCTTTAAAGATATCTTTAGAAGATTAATTCAGAGTACCTGGACTCTATCTGAGGTAGTCAGTTCTACATCATCTACCTCTGGTCTCAGGACTTTTTGGTCTGTAGAAGTGCTATTATCAACAGTCCACTCTATAAGTTGACTCCGCTGTTTCAATACTTCCCTGCTTCTGGAACCTTTATGGCCAGTCTGGTGGTGACTTTGCAATACTTTGGCCACTGGTTTATAAGATCTTCTGCTCACCTCCATGTATTCATCTTGACACAGGCAAAATGGAAGAAAAAATAAAGCCAGTAGATGCCAACTGATGAAATCCTTCTCTGCCATGTTATTCAAAATAATTTTTCAGGAGTCCAGCAAATGCCTTGCAGAACGAGAACCTCTTTGCTGCACCAGGAGTTATGTGGTCCTTTCAGCTTTTCCACTAGTAAGCCTGGCACTGAGACCACTACCAGGTTTTATACGGTTGTGTGCAATAAATAAAACTGAAAATGCCAAAGTGACAGGATTCTTCATCCAAAATCAGTCATGCTACTTTAAACAAACCAGGCATTATTCACCGCTTCACCACCACAAGGAAAATTGATTTGTATGCTGGAAATGACCACAGCATTTAACGGACTCCCGTGGTTCCTATTGGGGGCATTAAAAAATGTAGCACCTTTTCTTTGGCATGTTTTTGTTTAAGTGTGAAAAAATGTGATGGAAATGGAGAACATGTGGCTAATGGTTTACGCTCCTTGATTAGACATGGAAAGGCTGTGAATTCACACTCTTAAATGTCTTTTGGACACAGTCACCTTCCTTATTTGCCAGGAAATTCACACACACAACTGCGTCAGCCCAGTCCTAAAAATCCTTCCAAGAGCAATTAGGAAACAAAAGCAGAAGAGGAGCTTTTGCATATGATCCTGACCCAATGGCTGTTTCTGACTATGCTTTTCATTCACTAAAAGAAAAATATTGAATTTCTGTCAGTTGGCCAATGATGGAAGGAGACTGGATAAGTAGCTCTGAAAAACTGGGTTGAATTCAGATCCACAGAGCCTCATTTCTCAGCATTAGTTCAACCTACTCAGCCAGGCGATATTTTTTCCCCTGAGTTCCCAGTGTTTTGCTAAATGTAACTGCCAAACCAAGTTTTATATCTTTGCTGCCAAGTAAATATAAATTTACCGTGGGCTTATTTCAGACTAAAAGGATCAAATTATACATGTTTAATAATATCCTTATTATATTTTTTGAATCACCCACTAGCATCTTCTGGAAAACCACAGCAGCAGAATACAGTTCTGCAAATGCATCCACATATGCCCCCCTCCCCTGCTCCTTTCCAGGAGCAAGTAGCTCCTTGGTCTCTGAGAAACACTTCACCAGTACTTGGCTACAACAACATTACTGAAGGCATCAGGCCCAGGGAATGATACCTTGCCCCACAATGAGATGGACTGGCTCATACACAAGCTGTTCATGGCTGATCACTGTGCTTAGCGTTTGGCTGGGCCTCCTCTGTGACTTCTGGGGTGCTCTGCAGCCCTAAATTAAAAGAACGATGGAAGAGTTAGGGTTGGAAGGGACCTTTAAAGGTCACCTAGTCCAACACCCCTGCAATGAGAAGGGACATCTTCAACTTGATCAGGTTGCTCAGAGCCCCGTCCAACCTGCCCTTGAATGTTTCTAGTGGTGGGACATCGACCACCTCTCTGGGCAACCTGTGCTGCTGCACCACCCTCATCATAAAAAACGTCTTCCGTGTATCTAGTCTGAATCCACTCTCCCTCAGTTTAAAACCATTACCCCTTGTCCTTCTGCAACAGGCCCTGCAATAAAGTTTGTCCCCACCTTTCTTATAAGCCCCTTTTTTAAGTACTGAAAAGCCACAATCAGGTCTCCCTGCAGCCTTCTCTTCTCCAGGCTGAACAACCCCAACTCTCTCAGCCTGTCCTCATAGGAGATGTGTTCGATCCCTCTGATCATTTCTGCAGCTTCCTCTGGAGCTGCTCCAACAGGTCCATGTCTTTCCTGTGCTGAGGGCTCCAGAGCTGGATATAGGACTCCATTATCCCACATTTTTGCAATTTTCTTTTTCTTCCTGTTCAGTTGCCTGACAAAATATGAGAGTTGTGGTGCAGGGTGCTACAGTGGTTTTTAGAGCAGGAGGCTAAGGTTGTGTAAGCACCAGGGGCCTGTTGAGATGGTGATGAAGGTTTCATCCATGCAGAAAGTAGTCTCTGAAACTAATGATCTACATATATCACCCAGTCTGAATTTTGAGTGGGAACATAGTACCGTCCAAATGAGAGGCTGGGAATAAACCAGGATGTGACCAACCAGAAGGCCAAGACCCACCAGTGAAATGAGGTGCTAAGTTATTTGATAATGTAAGAAGGCTTTAGCGTACCAGCATTCTGTGGCAGCAAAGCATAAAAGCACAGGCACTGCTAAATGGTGAAATAAAGTTACATCTGCTAAAATGCCCCAAATTCATTGCGTGCAGCTGCAAGTGACAGCCATTTTGTGTCTTCACTGCCTGGCATATTACTGACATGGGGATGAGGTGTGGAGCATCTGAAGAAACGAACTCTAATCATAATCCTTGTGAAATCATAGGAATCCCTCTTTTTGACCCCGAGTGAAGAGAATAAGGCTCAAGCAACAAGGATTTTGAGAGGGGCTGTGGGTCTCCTGTCTAAATGGAAGATGAGCCCAGAAGGGAGATCTGCAATGTGAAGGCTTTTCACTTGGACCCTTGTAGATGCTGGAAGGGATGCACAATTGATGGTGGCTCAATGATGGTGAGAAAGCGCTTGAATGATGGTGAGAAAGCACTCTTTGTTTTACATTCAGCTCCTTTGTGTGGGAGACAGCAGGGCAAGTCATGTCATGGGAGAAAGTGCTGGCTGGAGATGCAGTGGAGAGGGGTGAGCAATGCTCAGTTGGGGCAGGTCTGCTGGTGGCACAAGCGCTGGGCAGGGTTTCAGCATCAGCCTGTACCCAGCCACTTTCCTTGGTTATTTCGTATTTAACAGCCCACGGAGAGGAGTGTGGGGCTGCACCAGTTCCCCAGAAAGGCAGTGCCAGCCCCCACGGACAGGCAGGGTCCGGGCTGACCCAGCACAGGGGCAGTGCTCGGGGCTGCTGGGACCAAAGGCAGCTGAGGGCACTTCTTCCGTATTTCTACTCCTGCATCAGCCAAGCATGGCATAGGAGCACAGGCCTCAGCTGCTGTGTTTCCCCCCGGGGATAAGCATGGCCCACTGCCTGGAGCACCCCAGTTGTCTCAGCAACAGCCCCAGGATCAGGGGCGGCTCCTGGTTATCTCAGCCCACAGGCTTGCCAGACAAAGCTGTGTCTCCTTGCTTCATGCTTTTGTTGTATTTATCTCCCTTATTTTGAAGCTCTGATGGCAGGAATCTTAATTCCTTTTCAGGGAAATCTTGGATTCTCAAGCCAGATGTTCAGGATCATTGAATAACACTTCGTAGATTATCTCTTGAGCCTTGCTTTAGTGTATAAATATTAATTAACTAAACAGCCTTGCAGAAGAGGTTAGTTAGCCTATGCTTTATGACTACTGAAAAATCATGATTTTAAAAAAATGCAAATATTCCAGTTATTTCACTAGGCAAGGCAAGATGGAAAGGAATTTACTGGAGAGTGCAGGAAGACTTCTGAAAGCACAGTTTCAGACTTCTGGAAGCTGATGCCACCAAAATGGGGTTTCTTTCTGAAGGAGAGAGGATTTTCTTGGTAGGAAGGGAGTTTGAAAACCCTGGACTCTGTAAAATTGGGAATGACTCAGAGACAAGCATTAATTTATCTTGGCACTTAATAATTTGATTCAGCAAGTGCTGGGACAGCACTGATGTTTTCAGCTGCCGTTAGGGCTTTCATGGCTTTCCAGACTCAGTTCCAGGAGCTTCCTGTGGCAAATGTTTCCAACATGAGTAATGAACATCCACAGCACCCATGTCCCAAAGAGAAGAGGAATAAAACCAAAGAGATTTGGGCTTCAAAGCCCCCATCTATCATCTCATGCAAAAGCTGAAACAAGCATGTTTCTCAGCAGCTGTTAGAAAGAAGAAAGATTACCTTCCTCATTTTCTAATAGAGTCCACCTGGTTCCTGCCCACCACTGCTCTGGCAGTTTGATGCTACACACATTTTTTTGTCCAAATTAATAACAGAGTTTAGAATTTGCTCTTTTATTTCCAATCTTTTGAATGAAATCCCATCTGCAGAAATCTTTTCTGACCATCATTCTCCTCTATGCCTTCAGCAAGGACTAGCTGGCCCAAAAAAGCATGGTCTACAGGCAGAAATTTTGGACTCAGAAGTAAAAAGCAGTGGAGGGACCGATTGCAATTCTCCATTCTTGATCTCCAAATGGTCAAATACACTTACCCAAATGTGTGAACTGAATTTACAATAACAGGACATCAAAATAGTAGTGCTTTGAATTAACTTTCTACTGGAATAAAACACTGAAAATACTTCATGCTGAGAAGAACAGATCCTACGGATCTGGAGATGAGGAAAGAACTGACCCAAA